CCCCCGAGAGACAAGTTTCAAGCCAATCCGATAAGATTTTGAATTTTGGCCAGTTTTGATCGCTTCCTGGCCCACAGTTAGTTGGCCTACTTCGAGAGTGAATAAACATAGAGCGCGATAAGTAATGGCCGGCCATATATAGATGCCTCAGCCAGACCAGTTCTTCGACTGCGTATCAATATGATAATAGGCAGGATATTTTTCTCAGGACCAGCCCGCTACATTCCCATTAGACTAGATTTCAAAAACGACGACAAACAGCAAGTGAAAGGGTGAAGCATTCAATTCTTGTGATGGAATGTTTCTCCTCATGAACTGCAATCGGCTGTCATCGCAGTTGTACAGTTAATTAAAATGTGGCGAGATTGCCATAAAGACTTCATAAAAAACATCTGAACTCGCGAGAGTTTTTAAATATACTTCCATATAATCTACGGTAAACTTCGATTGAATGACCCCCGTTGAAAGGGTTCCCCCGCTTAAATGCTTTCGGGGCTTACGTTAACCAATTACTCAGTCAAAAATGAGCTTTTCATTTAAAATAAATAAATAGTCCGTATGAACAAATTGTACCGTTTTGTATATTAAAATTGTTCAATTGTTTAAAACAACAAACTATTTTTAACCAACATCAATTTTATGACATCTTGTGAGTCCCCGAAATATTTCTAGTAGTATGGGCAAGCGGATAGACAAACAAACAGCGATACCACCGTATTTTTAATTGTTTTTTTTTTTAGTTTACGGCTACGAACGGTAACATGCCTTCACATACATACATATGTACATACATACATACATACATACATGTGTATGTACATACAAGTACATATATGTCTGAGGAAAAAATTGAAAAACGTGTTCTTTATTGCAAAAATAAAAGCTTTTAAATATAGACGAGCAGCTTTGGCAGACTTATTGACAGCAAACGGGTGAAAGCTGATGCTACAGTGGAGTCAGAGGAACGAGAATTTCACGTAATTCGTTTGGTAACTGAAAGTTAATTACATTTTGCTGGCAAATTTTATGAATTGAACTAAGTAATGCAGAGCACAATTGGCGTGGGAATTTTGATTGGCAATCGAAATGAGTAAAAGGGAAGCCAAGTGACAGTTTTTTTCGCAGAGAAATCCAAGAATCTCTTTAGCATTGGTATCTTTGGAACATACTTGTATGTTGGACTATGTATGGTTATCTTCTAAACATCAAAATTAGTTTATAAAAAGCGTACTACTCGCTTACAGTTCAATCCGGAATGATTATTTAATAGTTTTATCAATTTTATTTTATAGTTTTATCAAGTTTATTTTTGACCACATTGACCAATTTCTATAATTTTTTTTAAAGGAAAGGTGTACCTCAGAGGTGGTCCCATACTAATTTGGTATAGATCCGATCATTGGATCATGAAGAAATTAACGGTACTCTTAAATTTTTATATGACTGTTGAAATCGGTTTAATTTTGCTTTAACATTAATTGTTTTATTACTGAATCGCAAGCTACAGTAAAATCAAAGCATTTTCGGACGATGTGATTGGTATTGAAAACTACAGAAATTTGTTGGACTGTGTCTCTTCCAAAAGCCTTACGGAGTTGCATAAAATATACTTCACAGTCAACATGGTTATTTCGTAAAGACCTTTTCATAAAACACATATCTAAACATAAGCAAGAACAATTTGCAAAAATACACAGGGCTACTTACTAAATATATATTATATAGCCATACTATAAGCGTCAGCAATACGTACTAGCGTCAGCACTTGATTAACCGAAAAAAAATAAAAATAATAAAATTATAAAAGAAAATACTTTTCTTTAGTCTGCCAGGCGAGTGAGGAAATATTGGCATTATACATCACGAGGGAAGAGAATTTTTTTTTTTTTGAAAAAGTATAGTGAAGCGTCTAAAAGATTTTTTCACTACTTTCTCGGGCATTCAACGAAATGCCTATTTGAATAAAATATTCATATGCGTACATATGTATGTAAAAATTTGTGTATGCACATTAGGGTGGTCCAAAAAAGTTAAGTACGAATTTTAATGCTCTCACCCCTGGTATTGTTCTAAATCGAAAAGCTATACCCCTGTTTTTTTATTTTGAAATTAAAAAATATTGAGAAGTCGCTCATATATTTTATATGGGAAAAAACAATTTTTCGTGGGAAAGATATAGAATTCTTGAAAAACTTTGAGCACTTTGAGTGACTTCTAAATATGTATTTGATTTCAAAATAAAAAAAGGGATATACATCTTTTTTAGATTAGAACAATCCTACGGGCTGAGAGTATTAAAATTCCCGCTTTATTTTTTTTTTTTTACCACCCTAATCCACATATATGAACCTATATATATATATACTTTGTATGCATATTTATAGCACTTTTAATCATTTAATGCGTACATGTGTAGAACTTAATCTTACTTCATATGTATGTATGTACATACATTTGTAACGGCAAATAATTTTTATGAATATCTGTGCCAAGTGGACTCATAGTCTGTCTGGCTAAATCAGCTGACTGGCAAGCTACACAAGCTGTGGGAGGATTTTCCACATTTTGGCTACCAAATGAAATTCTTCTTGAGCTTATGAACTACGTATTTATTCAAATTTATTTATTGTTAGAGTAGTTTTATTTTTATTTTTATATGTCTGTCACAATCTCATGTATGGACTGTGACAAAATTTTTCCAGTGGTCTTTTCACAATATCAAACTTTAAAAGTTCACTTTTACATATGTATGTATGTATTTATGTCTTTAGGACTGTCAAAAGAACTGCAATTGCTATGAATTTCATAATTATATCGAAACTATGCACTATGGGTAATTTTACCCATTTTTGTGGCAAAAGTTAATTTTGTTGATTATCAAAAAAAAATGTATTAATAGGTATATGATTTCTCTAATTTTTGGATTAAAAACAATCTTAACCCTTGACGACCGATGAGTCTAGAGGGGTCACTTCTTAATTTGTAGTTTTGTTGAAAAAGTTTACTTACAGTTTTTTTCTAAATATCTATATTGAACGAAAAAAATGCCACTTGTTTACCAAAACTATTGAAGCAGTGTGTATTTTTAAAATTGCGTTATCTACTCAAACAACAATATTAAATTAAATATTTTTTAGAAGTAAAACGTTAACATACTGATAATGAGTTACCAAATTTACTTTAAATTATTTCATTTCTACCCTCAATTCCTACAACTTCGGCATTCAGAGAAAGAGTTTTTTTCTACTACTTTCGTAGTTAACAGTGATTTGTTAAAAACTGCGCAAAGTGCAAAGGAATATACTTTTTATTATTGTTTATTTTCTCTTTTAAATAAAATACTATGTTTATTTGAGTGTACTATAATTTTATTGAGATTTTTTGGAAGAAGCACTATAAATATCTTCGAAAATTTTTGCAACCCTAGATGTGCAGTGCTAATTCCAAATTTTAAACGTTTTTAAATTATTTTCAAAAAGGAGTCTTCCTCCACTTCTTAGTCGTTAACGCTAGCGATTTCAACTATTTAGCTTAGGCACCAAAATTTCTTCCAATTTTTTTTTATTATATTTATTATTTTCTTAAAAAATAGTCTCTTAAAATATAATTTGTCTAACACATTTATTCTAACTTGAGCCTTGAATTAACCTCGTACGCAAATAACAGTGCTTTCCCATAATGGTGTTGCTCGTTAGCATCGTAGATATTTATATAAACACGGCCTTGGTGGTTTCAAATGTGACCATGAACGACGTGCGAATAAGCTTGAGGATGGTGGGCATGCCCGATTCTCTTGACAACAGCTTGGAAACCATTATGTTTATCAGCTGTGTACTCCACAACGCGTATAGTGCCATCAGCTTCAGCAAAAGTGTAGCCACCTAATGACAATTTAGGAATTAAGGACTAGAAGTAATAAATATTTTCAAGAAATTTAACAAACCTTTCACATGATCGCCATCACGATGCTCCCATTGGCTCTTATGATCACCGGTGTGTGCGTCCTTTACGCCATATTTGAACTCGTATTTGGGATGATGATGGGGCTCGTGATGATGGCTGACATGGTTGCCATATCCGTGATTACCATGATGATGGACGTCAAAGTGTTGCTGCACCGAAGCATAGCTGGAGGCGTGCCCGTGAGGTATATGTCCTGCGAATGCAACTGCAAAGAGTGCTGTCGTGACAACGATGGCAATAGGCGTGGTGCTATGCATTTTATGTATGTCGTTGAAATCGAAAATCTAAAATTATTGGCTGTTGCGGTGGTAAGTGACTCACTTAGATGTTGGTATTTAACTGATAAAAAAATGCAGTTTATAATTTCCTTTTATATGCTAAGACTTTCATAGTAGATTCTCACATTCTGAATGTATGTATATTTTTGGAGGCCCAAGCCGTTCTCTTTCGATTTTTGAAAAGTTGGCAATCGCCAAAAAAAATTCCAAAAAAATATAATCAGATGGTTAATTAGCGCTATCACCTTGTTGCTGTTAACAAACACTCATTTAATCAAAGGTCACTGTGAAAATTGCCCTGCTGCACAGCCCAATTATTTCACACCGAATTGTTGATAGTTACTAAGTTCGCACTTTAGTCAATCGATCTACCCTAGCTACTTACTTTCTAAGTAGCCACTGTTATCAGACTATCTTAGTTCATTTAATTAGCTTTAAATGCACTCTATGGGTAACCATTTTAATGCCAAGAAATAAATATTAGAGCGTTGTTATTAATACGGCACCTTCGAAATTTCAAGTAAGTAATTAGCGAACTTACCACCAAGCAAAACCGAATTAAACTAAACTGCTGAAAATTAGATTTTGTCGCACTCGTTAAGGTTACTAAAAAACCAATTTGGTAGTTGAAAGTGCTAAAATCTTAATCGATTTGGTATAAATAGAAACTGCAAGCAGCTGTTTGATATCAGTTAACTACTAGCTGCTACTAAAAGAGTCACTGGGGCCTATACATATATCAAACTTAGCCCAAGCAAAATGCATACCATCTCGTATATCGCCATCCTCATCACAACCGCTCTCTTTGGAGTTGCATGCGCAGGACCTGCGCCGCATGGACACGCCTCTAGCTACGCTTCGGTGCAGCAACACTTTGACGTCCATCATCATGGTAATCACGGATATGACAGCCATGTCAGCCATCCCCATTATGCTGGCCATACTCAGCATCAGCACGTCCATCATCATGAACCGCATCATCATCCCAAATACGAGTTCAAATATGGCGTAAAGGACACACACACCGGTGATTATAAGAGTCAATGGGAGCATCGTGATGGCGATCATGTGAAAGGTTTGTTAAATTTCTTGAAAATATTTATTACTTCTAGTCCTTAATTCCTAAATTGTCATTAGGTGGCTACACTTTTGCGGAAGCTGATGGCACCGTACGCGTTGTGGAGTACACTGTTGATAAACATAATGGTTTCCAAGCTGTTGTCAAGAGAATCGGGCATGCCCACCATCCGCAGGTCCACCATCATGGTGGCAGCCATGGTTTCCAGGGTTAGGTTAAACACTTTTTTTTTTAATTGTTTCCACCTCAGTGGTACTCTGATTAGCTATGTATATCGCGTTGAGTTTGTTTGTTAAATTTTTTTAAGTATTCGCGGCATTAGCCTGAAAAATTGTTGTATCTAATTTTTTGTTTTTAGCTTTAAGTTTTTTTTTTTAGTAAAGTAATTCGTCCAAAGTGTTTTAATAGTATTTACTTTTATTTGAAAATAATTGCTACAAAAATAGGAAAAAATTAAATTTTAATAAAGTCGGAAACATCAGAAAAATAAAAAATTAAATACTAATTTAAACAAGAAATTTTAAATGATTTTTTAGTTAGCATAAGTAAATAATTTTATTCATTTAGATGAATTGGCATTGTTGCATTACAATTTTCCTAAAATCAAATATATTTCCTGAAAAACGCAGTCCACAACAAAATAAATTAAAATGGTTTAAATTAAATTGAAATAAAACAAAATAAATTGAAACATTTTAAATACAGTAATGTTTCTCTAAAAATATATGTACGTATCTCCTGCCGGAAGTGTTTGCTTAAAAATATTTTTTCTGCTTAGTCAGACT